TCTAAAGCAGTTCTGCTTTCCCTTCAGAGCTAAAGCCAGAAGGTAGAATTGAAAGTCACAGGAAGAACTTGGACAGATATAATTTATCAGCTTTGAAGTTCATCCTGACAGTGTTTAAAAAGACACACAGAATAGGTTGAAAGAATTAATCATTTATTTTAAGCAGCATAAAATCTGATCTTTTACATACTGTTTATCTGAAAATGGCAAGGCCTGAAAGTACAAAGTATCAATTTTTTTGAAAATTGAGTAATGAGGCTTGACAGTAAGTGGGATAGACATCCTAACATCACCTGAAGACTGACTTAGAAAGACTATACCACGTTTTTTCGATGTTTTGATCCCATTTTCCTTTCAGTCAATGTTAAAAATATTATCTGATAAAAACAAACAAACGAACGAACAAACAAACAGGTGAAGAAATGCCTCTAGAAGATGAAATAATTTCCTTAGTGGTGAAATCCTTTCCACACTTCCTAAATAACTATAAAATAACAACTGATGTAGTATTAAAGTTTTAAAAGATCTCTGCATCGCCATATAAAACTTTCAATAAAAAAATGTGAACTGCCTTTTTCAGATTAAGACTTATTTGAACACTCAGCTTTGTACAGTTTATGCACAGAGTATTGGCTATCCAAGCAATTCTTTCCAGGACATGTTGCAGCAATCCATGCCTTCGTGCTGCCAAGAAATCGTCAGTTGTCTTTTTAGGATCACTTCAACATCCTCAAGTTCATTTTTTCCCCCCACAGAATTTTTCAAAGGACATCTGTGTTGCAGCAAATGCAGCCATTTAAACACTCACCTACATAATCCCTCCCTGAAAACACAGGAATAAACATCCCCTTTGCAGGTTTGACTTGGCTCTGTGAAAACTTCCCTCCTCAAAGGGTGGTGTGAGAGAGGATTGTTACACATAATGTTTATTTAAGTGTTTTGCCCAAGCTGTAAAATCAGAGCAGGTCCAGTTGCTCAGGTGGAAGGAGCAGAAGTGTCTCTGCCACCAAAATGAGCCAACAGACCATAATAATCCAGTGCAGTTGGTGCTGGACAAAAACCACCAAGGCCTTCAAGAAAGAAGCTGTCACCTGCTTAAGGAATGGCACCAACTCCCACAGCTCCTTGTGGTCCTTCTCTCCACCCCTGTATTTTCTAAGCACAAAGAATTTACAAACAGGACCAGTGAGGAATACCAAGAGTATTTCCAAGTGGGAAGCAAAAGAGGTCTAGGAAATGTGGTCAGATGCACAAAGGAGTTCTTTGCACACAGGAAAAATTCGGGGACCTTTGGAAAAGATGAAGTTTGGTCTCGAATTCTTCTCCTAATGCTCCTGGAAGTATTTGCAACGTGGAGTTAATTTCTAAAGCCTTAAAAACTACTTTAAAACAGGTCTGTGAATGGTAAAGAAGAAAACTGCATCTTTTCTTAGGAGGACATGGAGCTTTTAGGAATTTTTTTGTGGGGGCAGAGGGGTTGAGCGGGCCAGAAGACAATCAGAAAAATCAGATTTACGACCAGAGAATTAGTAGGACAGCAACTACCCTAACATACATTTATGTTAGGTGATTACAATCAATTAAAAAAAAAGAAAAAAGAGACAATACTTGTTGAGGGCTACTTCCTTTTAAAAGCTGAAAATTACCGTCTGTGTTTTACTTTTTGGCTGACTTAAAAGAAACTCTGGATGTGCCTTTGCAGTCCAGTGTAAAATTCCCAGTATTTCAAAGACTACCCGACCACAAATATCCACCCAAAGCAAACACAAAACACTCTTTTATTACTACTGTACAGTCACTGTATGTCAACATGTTTTAGGACAACGTGTCTTGTTGCCTACAAACAGATATTGCTGGGGGGTGAGACACAGCACTGTGTGCTTTGTTATACAGAGAGGGGAATATTCAGCAACTGGGCAACGATTCTGCTTAAAGATGATAGTGCCCCTTATTCATCTGTGAGTGGACAATTCCCAGCAGCACCAACAGGCACCTCAGAATGCTGGTTTTCAAAATATTCACGCAAGGGAACCCTGGGGGCTGACTGATGTTACTCCTACAGCAGCTTGTCAGCAACTGCTGTCGCTCTCCCATTTGGCTCTTCCAAGGGGCCTCAGCCTTGCTCTGGAAGCCTGGTAGAAGACTCAGTTATTTAACCTCTCCACGTTTCACACCTCCAGCCACCTTCAGCTCACCACAAGGGCAAGTCACAGCAGTGGCTTTTGTGGGACAGATGCATCTCATCCTCCGTTGAAACCAACACCTCTATCTCTGCTGACATTCCTGAGGAGCTATTACCAGGGTGCTGGATTACTCACAAGCCTGGATCAACATCTAATTAGGCCTCAGAAGCCAGAAAATCCAACTGGCTCAGAGATTGCTCGTATCCTGTTACCAATCTGTCTTCACTTCTCTGAACAGCAGCAAGAACTACAGCAGCCAGAAAAGAACAATTTATCAATCACAGAGTCAAGTTTGACAGGAACTAATGTCTTGGTAAATTGTACAGCCCTTTCTTAAAAGGATCCATCCGTTATGCTCCTGCAATTTTTAATGAAGTTAAAGGTAGCTTACTTCTTTCTTTTCATAATTTCCTTTTACTTGCAGCTCCATAGGTCACTGTACCAGCACCCTTCACCACACAGCTCATATTGCTACTTATATATATATGTCTGAGATCAGGATATCACAACCAACCAACCTAGCTGATGGAAAGCCCTACAGAAATTAAAGCTTTCAGCAGCACAATCATTCTGGATTATCAGAAACTTTAAGGATCTCTCTCTCTCTTCCTCCCTCTCTCTCTGGGAAAATCTGCTGTGTTAAGTAACTCTCCTAAACCTTTTAATATTTAAAAGGACAAGGTTAGCAGGAAAATGCAAAACCAGCCAATACACAAAAAGGAACTGGGTAGGATGCTCATAGGTTGATTTTAGCTGATGAATTTAACTGTTGTTGGGCACCTGAAGTGTTTAACCAGAGACCCCAAACCCCACACTTCTGTGATCACCTCGAGTTAACCTGCACAGCATCAGAGCTGGGAACTGGAATGCTGCACTGCCTTGATGTATTGTGTTTGAGTTGATCCAACATACAAATCCTAAACACAAAGCCCTTTCACATTAAAAACAAAACAATCCCCTCTACCTAACTTCTTTTACAGAACCTGAACAAAAGGCTTATTCCAACCTTTCATCTATTTTCTTCAGCATTTAAATTGAGCCAAAAAAAGCCCATGATAACATTTCTAAAACTTGTGAAGGCAGTGGGGTAGAACCAACATATTCCCCTGCCTGAACTCAGGTTTAACTAGTGGAACTCAAATCACATCCCTTCAAATCCCTCATGACTGCACTGATAGTATCAATTACCTAAAAAGCTGCACCCAATGAAACACAGCTTTCTGACACTCTCGTGGTATGTGATAACACCCACATCAGAAAAATGCTGTTTCAGCAAGAAATACTGATCCCTGTACAAGGAATGATGTGGAGTGCTGTGGCTTGGAGCATCCTGACTTCCACAATAAATACAGGATATTTTCCAGCACCATTTTTACTCACTGGTCCGGCTTTTTTATACCCTCACTCCCTTTTTTTTTTTTTTTTTTTAAGGTGTGGTTTAATCTTACATCTGAAGTTAGTAACAGGAACATAAAATACCTCCCAGCGTATTTTTTTTTTCCCTTTAAAGATATCAGGGAAAGAGATCACTAGTGACACACACTTGGTAATACTGCAGTCTGCCACTGTATTTCATCTTCCACACAAAAATGCTCAAGAGCATTATTTTTCTTAATGTGCTGTAGGCTAAAAATGAACCCTCAAGGGTTTCTATTGCTCTTCTTGTTGCCAGAGCAACAAAGCAATACTCACCTGAATATCTGCCAGTGTAAGTATCAATTTACAAGCTAAGATGAAGTTTGTGCTGCTAGCAGATGTCACTAACAGCATTTTTACTATAAGCCAAATGTTAGTAGCAAGGAGTGCCATGAAAGCTCAGGAATATATTAGTATTTCCTCTGTGCTGCTTGATTATTGCTCCTATAATTCAAGTGTTTTTATTAAAATATCTTGACCAGTGACATTCAAAGTGAAAGGGTAAAACTGAAAGGCTTTTATATGAAATCCAGTGCATTAAAAAGACTTTTGTTAACCAACTCACAAGAAATCCCAGCTGGCACTAGAAACATACTGAGAACCTTTCCCAGTAAATTCCTTCCTAAAACTCTTTGTGGTAAGGAGGTAGGAGGGGCCGGGGTGAGGGAAGCAGTGATGAAACCTTTTAATAGCAGACAAGTGTTATTACTTTCTGAATTGAAAAAGGGTTTATTGTTTAACACTGTATCAATCCAAAATTCAGACTTGTGTTTCTGTTTGAAGAAGAAGCATTACTTCTATCGCCATACTGTAGAAAAAGAAGGAATACGACTCGAAAATTATTTGTTATGTGTAAAGCCAAACCCAGGAGGACAATATGGAACTCAAAATCATAGTTATGAGATATTAAGAGATATGGAAAACGGAACACTGGGAAAACAGCGAAGCTCTGTGGTTTCTTATATGTCTTGTGGTTCACAATTTTTCTCCTCTTAAAAACCAAGAGGCAGAGGAAGAAGGAGACAAACTCAAAAATTCCCGTTTGTTTCCAACTCCGAATTCCAAGAGAAATAATTTTCAGACGTTGGATCAGCACATCAATTATTTCACTCTTTTGAGCCAAGCAATCTGAGAGTGCAAGTATTCAAAGGGAAAGAAAACCACAGGACCTGCCAGTTATGACGTGAAACACACAAGTCAGTTAAAAATCCCCCCACAGTGTTTTATTTTCACACACATGACGTGCACCTCTGCAAATGCACCACTCCTGAAAAAAACCCTCAGAAATCTTTCCTTATTCCATGCAGAGTCAGATGCAGTGTGAATCAGAGAGCTATATGAAGGGATTATAGGCAGAAAACTGTCTAGGCAAGGCATTGGGAAATTCAGAGTTAAGCTTCCTTTTTTTTTTTCTCTCCTGGTTTCCCACATGGATATGCAAACTGCTCTGCTACCAGAATGCAAAGGAATAACTTTTTCCTTTTTTTCATATATATAAAAATACCTCCCAAGATAACTAATAGTTATCAGTGAAATCCTCAGCCTTGCATTGTTTATCCTTCAAATCCAAACACTGGCCAGTGTTACAGAGAAGCCATGGAGGTCCTGCAATGCTCACTGACTAGAGACAAGAAAAACTGTCCTATCTGCAAAGAAAAGCCCAAGTTCTGACCCCAGCATTAAGATCCGCACTTGCAGAATAGAAAGCTGGTCAAATATACTCCTCCCTGCTCCCTCCCACTATTGTTCTCAGTTTTACCATATGTTTGTTTTCAGCCAGTCAGTCCACACACACTTTTCATTTGATTGACACAGCGGTGAAGCTAAAACTAAACACCTCCAACTGCTGTTCGAGTTGGAAAACAAGCCAGCATTAAGACTTTCACTTCATGGCCTGTCCATAAAGACAGATACTTCTCTTTTGAACTCATAGTTGCTGAGCTCGGCAAAAAAAAAAAAAAAAAAAAAAAGGTTGTCTTTCTTATTTTGTTGTTTCCTTTTAGTTACACACTCACTAGAAATAGAGAAAGACATCACAGAACACAGACCTTTGCTTTATTGCCTGCCCATACATATGCAGATCAGCCTTTTCTAGGTATCAGTCAGCCTCAACTCAAAAAAAACAAACAAACTCCCACACCAGGGGGAAAACTGAAAGGCCTTTTTTTTTTGTTTTGTTTTGTTTTGTTTGTGCACCAAAGTGGAAAGTCACGAAGTACTAATTTTTATAAAATCCAAAGAATTCAAAGCCAAGCAGTTCCATTTGGTTGGATGGAGCATCTTGTGCTTCAAGACCAGTCCTAAGCCACACGCTCACCAGTGGTAGCATCCTTGTGAATTACGAGAGGTAGTCTTGTTTTACACTAAGGCTGAACAAGTTTGTTTACCCAGTTTTCACCACCTCGAGCTGTTTCGTAACACTCAGGGAGGGTCACCCTCTCAAGTGGCAGCAGTGATCTTGAGGAGAAGAAACCACAAACCAACATTTCCTCTTGACCTCACTTGCTTTTCTCCCTCTGCTGCTTACTTTTCTGCCTGACTTTTCTCCCTCCCCCGCACCATAAGCACAGTTTCAAAATAAAGTGGTGTAAACAGAAAGCAGGATTCATTTAATGCAATTAATAAGAAAGATTATTAAAGTTTTTTTTTCTCTTTTTCTACAGTCAGGGCTCGATTAGTTAGAAAATACTGACAGGTCCTTTTTTTGTGAAAGAGAGATGGACAATTTTGTTCAGACAGTGGAAGAACATGACGGTGTGGTTTTTTATATTTTTTTTTTTAAATCTTTTTCTTTAGATTTTTTTTTTTTAAAGAAGGTACTGTTGAGAGCATAAAGGCTCGTTGCACTGCAGTAGCAAATCCAGTACCGTAGCACTTCAGAGGTGTTTAACAGTGCTTTGGTTCAGAATCAGTGTTAGAAAAAAATAAAGCTATAAAAGTTACGATGCAGGATATTTGGTGGGATTTCAACAGCAATTTGCAATGGGCGTAGAAAGGACCGAGGCATTGGCTTCTTCCCCTTGGCAAAGTTCTCTGGTCTTCGTTCTGCTGGGAGCCCCAGGTTTTTCAGGATCGAGTTTCTCACTTCCACCGGTGACGCACTAGGGAGGATTCGTCATTGACCACGTCATTGTCCGTGTAGCGGTGCTGGCACCGGGGTGGGATGAGCAGCAGGATGATCAGCACCAGGAGGATCACTCCACACAGGCTCATGAGAGCATAGGAGGCAATCCACAACACGGGCTCGTGGAAAGAAAGGCTGGAAACACAGTTGCTGGCAACATCTGCTGTTGTGAAAGGGCCTTCAATCTCAGAGACTGGAGAGCCATCAGCTTCTGAGAAAGTGCAGAAAGAAAAACATTAAGTCTAGAGACAACCTTAAGTCTACAGACACCATTTAAAAGCAAATAACAAAGAGACCTAGCCTAAATACCTGTATATCCCTTTCCCTCCATCATCACACGTCTCGGCATACTCATGTTTTATTGCATTTCTCATTGCAACAAAAATGCTACAATCCCACGTTTATAAAAAGGGAATCTGAAGCATAAGGAGATTGTGACACTCCCACATCTACACAGGCTGTCTATGAAAGAACAGACATTTAAATCAGCTCTGCCACAGCCACAGTCAGAGCCCAAACCCCTGGATCGCTTTTTTCTCTCTGGACTAACCTTTCAGAAATGTCTGTTTAAATATCCTACATCTACACTGGTGTAGGTCAGAGCCAGGGCAGTTTTTGTTTGTTTCTGCCATTTCCAGCAACTGGAAAAGTACCTCAGATGATTCCTGTGCCTTCTGTGTCTGCTGTTTCCCAGGGTCTTAGGGAGCAGCATCCAGGTTCACAGGCTTCACAGCTACCTTACAGCACTGCACCCTAAATATGAGGTGCAGGGTGGAAAGCAGCACAGACACTCTTGTGGGAGGAGGTGAAAATTCAGAAGGAAGGGGAGGTGAGGCAGGAGAGCTGGGTGACAGCTGTCCAAAAAGGGGAACAGTGTAGAGGAAGGTCAGTGTCAGGAATGAGGAGCTGGGACATGAAGGAGCAGCGCTGTTGGGCAGGGAGGGAGAACTAACCAAGCAGCTCAAGAAATGACGATAAAGCTAAGGCAAGAAGCACCAAGGGGTGCCCTGGCAGCTCGGTTTTTGAACAGCCATCCATCTCAGCAGCATCACAGACTGTGTGACTTTGTTTCATTACCACCACAGCCCCCTGCTTGTCAAACCAGGATGTGCTAAAAAGGGTTATGCTGCCCATGGTTGTCACAGTAACCGTGGCAGGCACAGCCAAGTTCCCCTGGACAGGGCTGAGGGTGCTGGAATGGCAGAGCAAGTGAGTTGCCCTGGGGCAACAAAATATTGGGAGCATTTCGTACCTGTGGGTGTGTGGCTGGGGAAAAAGGATGGACACCTTTCAGCTTGCTTGGGGCAGCAAGGAGTCTGCAGTTAGCACTGTCTGTGCATTTTAACAAGTCTTCCAAACAGTTGTAATCCACTTCTCTAGTCAGATACTTCAAGGCACATTTGAGCATTTTTTATAAAGGCCTCAGTTCTACTTGTCCTGCTTGATTTCTTTTTCATTTTATAAACAGACACACTCTTGCCCAATTGTAAGTGATCCCATTATGAAAACAGTATCTCTTATTTACACAACTCAGTCATGACTGCTGAAACCCTGTTTAAAGAGATTAGCATAAAATACCCCTTGGAAGGAAGTGTTTTGCAAAGGCAGGAAAGGTGGACTTTAAGGTTCTTTGTGGACAAACAAACGCAGAACAGGTTGGTTGCTTTACCTGCATACATTTCAGCTGGTATTCAGTCCCTGGCCTCACAACACTTTGCATCACTTTTAAGATTTAGCTCTTGTTAGACTTAATAATTGTGGGCTGGTGCTGCAGCTCACAGATCAGATGGAAAACCAATCTATCATAATGAAAAAAATGCCCAAAAAAGGAATTTTCTGTAGGATTACCCAACTGAACCAACTCCTTCTCCAGCTGTAAGTGTGGGAAGATTCCTTTAGCAGCAATACACAGTTAGAGTGGACTAAGGCTGCACCCACAGCACCCTGACACTGGTGAACACCAAACACAGACTCTCTAAACTTATCAGAGGGTAAAAGACTGCCTAGAAAGTCAGTGGCAGAAATCCTTTTTGTTCAAAGTCCCAGGATTGTGCTTTGTCTGTCCTGCCATTGTTT